TAATAATAGAGAGCAAAGAATAAACAGAAACGTAAAAGGAGAGAAGGATAAACAGTTGAAAAAAGGAGAGAAATAAATAACAAAACCAATGCAAAAATGTGGTTAATTCCCTGAATATTTTTTTTTAATTTACCACGAATATAGTGGTTTTAAAACTATTTACAAGAATATTGTGTTTTTTGATATGTTGAAAGCGCCGAAGCCCCAGTCCGGGACGCCGCCGCTAGGTGCTTTTTAAAAAAAAAACTTGGCGGCGGCGCCCCGAACTGGGGCTTTGGCGCTTTTGAGAAAGTAAAAGCGACGGCGCCCCAGACTGGGGCTTCGTCGCTGCCATTTTTTTCCGCTCCAGCACTACCCATTCATATATATACTACACCTTTGCTTCGGTTCTTCATCACCAAAAAACTGAAAGAAGTTCTGAGAGAAGCTCTGGTGTTGCTGTCTGGTTGTTGGGAAGATGGCTAATAACAGGTAAGGGTCGTAATTTTTTTTTCCATGTATTCATCATAATGATTTTGTCCAGTTAGTAATTAGAGTTTGTTTTTAATGTAGTGGTTTTAGGAGATTTGAACTAGCTGTTCGGTGGCGATCAGAGAAAGTAGAAGACAATTTGGGTGTCCATTTTGTTGGTGGTTTAAGTTTCCAGATGACTATTCCATCCAGGGTGAACTATCAGAAACTTTGTGATCATCTAATTCGGAGAATAGGGATTAGAGACGAAACAGTACAAGATAGTGTTGTGATTACAGGTTTCACCTACTGTCTTCCAGAATGGCAGAATGGTGTTTTATTTCATTATGCAATGCCTATTGTCGATGATGATAGCTTAAATGTGCTTTGGAATTTTATGGCACAAAATCCTTATTGTTTGGGTGCTGAGATACATGCTGAGCTCAGTGAGGATCGGGATGGAGAGGAAGACGATGATGACGGTGATGATACATGGAGCGTGCCATCCGATCATGCCTATGATGACGGTGATGACGAAGAGGAGGAAGATGAGGAAGAGGAGGAGGAGGACGACGGGGAGGGAGGAGAACTACCTAATTATCCTCCATATTTTTACTTGCAGGGTAATGAAGAGGACGAGGAATTATCATATGCTGATTCATATGGCGTAATTCCAGGGTCTACTGTTGGTGGTTTTGATGGAGAATTCTACAAGGGGCAGATATTTCACTCGAAACAAGCTGCACAGGTGGCGATTAAGCACTATGCACTACAACGCAACTTTCAATATAACGTGGTGGAGTCGTCACCTTCAATCTGGAAGATCAGATGTTTGATGCACAAGGAGGACAAATGTGCGGTTTGGATGTCGAGATGTGGGAGGCGATTGGAGCGTGAGAAAGTTCGAGTTGGTGCATACTTGTAGCAGTACGACTCAACCGACTGATCATCGCCATCTTGATGTCGACGTGATATCTGAGGCCGTCAAACATTTGGTACGTGCCCAACCAAATCTGAGTGTTCTAACTGTGCAAGCCGAGTTGAAAGATAAGTTTAATATGCAAGTTACTTACAAGAAGGCTTGGTATGGGAAACAAAGAGCATTGGAGAAGTTGCATGGAAATTGGGAAGAATCCTATGATTTTTTGCAAACATTCTTGCGGGTGGTCAAGAGAAAAATGCCAACATCGGTGATTGATTGGGTAAGAGTTCCTTCGACTCAACCAGGTCATTCGATATTTCAGCGAGTATTTTGGGCTTATGGACCTTGTATAGATGGATTCAAGTATTGTCCAGGCGTCATGGTTGTTGATGGGACATTTCTTACTGGGAAGTATAAAGGAGTGCTACTCATGGCGAGCTCATTTGATGGCCGGAAGAAGATTTTTCCAATTGCATTTGCTATAGTGGAGAGTGAGAATACTGATAGTTGGCCATGGTTCATACGTCACGTTCAGGGTTTGACTGATCGAAATGATGTATGCATAATCTCAGATAGACATGCAGGACTCTATGAAGCCATGAATAACATCGGAAGAGGTTGGGAGTGGAGGTGGTGCATGCGACACTTTGCAAGCAATTTGCAAAGGAAGACTAAAAGCAGAATTATGTATAAGCAACTATTTCGAGGCGGTAAGCCTTCTTCATTTAATTTTGTTATTTATTTTTAGGTAAGTTTGTCATGAATTTATCTAACCTGTGTGGTTGATTATTTTGTTAGCCGGAGAAAAACGCTTGGAGAAGTTCGATCGTCAAGTTGAGCAATTTAAGAAGGTGGCCACTGATAGAAATATTTCATGTGATAACTGGGTGGACCAACATCAGATTCGTTGGAGTTTAGCACATGATAACTACAATGGTGGGCGTCGTTGGTCTATCCTGACATCCAACATGGCAGAAAGCATCAATGGTGTTTTCAAAGGTATTCGTGCACTTCCTATAGCTTCTCTTGTGCAACATACCTATTGGCGATTGGTGGAGAAATTCGATAAGTACAGGTTGGAGACAGGAGCAGAAATTAGGAGTGGTCCTTCACAGTACTCCACCAAGTGCGAAGAACTGATGACCAAGTGGTCACAAAAGGCAGTTGGGCATTCTGTGACAGCTCTTGATCGAAGTCAAGGCATCTATGTAGTTCAGACTCCCCCCAACAATTTCAACATGACGGGGTCAAACACACTCACAGTGCACTTTGACGACCACAACCGGACGGGATTTTGCACTTGTGGGAAATTTCAAGGAAATAAAATTCCTTGCTCTCATGCCATTGCAGCTTGCAACCGAATGGGGGCCCATCCATATAGGTTTGTAAACGACGTCTACAAGTTTCAAACAGTGCTTGCTTGTTATGGGACAAGTTTCACTCCTCTTGGTGAACCTAAGGGTTGGAAGAAGCATAATGACACTACTCTCCATCCTAATCTGGACATGATTAGAAAGCCGGGGAGACCAAGATCAACACGAATTCACAACGAGATGGATTGGCCAAGGGAGGGTTCATCACAGCAAGTGTGTAGCAACTGTAACCAAGCGGGACATAATGCATCAACTTGTGGTGGCCAAGCAAGTGGGAGTGGGAGCAACCGAAGAGGGAGTGGTGGCCAACGAAGTGCGAGAGGTGGTAGAAGAGGAGGAAGTAGAGGGAATAGACGTGGCTGAGAAGTTTGTTCGAATGTAGCAGTTGTTGTTTTTCTTTCGATTTATCTCGTTGAAGTTGTTGTTGTTTGGACTTGTTGTTGTTTGGATTTGTTGTTGTTTGGACTTGTTGTTTGAAGTTGTTGTTGTTTGGACTTTTATGAACTGAACTAGCTGTTGGAATTTGTTGGTTTTATATTTAAAGTCTCAATTTAGACAATAACACTAACATCAAACAGTCCGATGAGATTAAAAATAGTCCAAAAATAAGTACATAATAATAAATAGTCTCAAGAAAGTACATAATAATAATTCATAGTCAAAAAGAACATAATAATAATAAATATCTCAACATAGTACATAAATACACCAACGACCACGACGACCACCGCGCCGACCACCACGACGACCACCTGCCACTAGATGGCCGCCAGTACCACACCTCGCTGGGCTCCTGTCTCGTGGAGGCAACAACTCAGCTCTCTCCGCCCCATCATCCTGATCCTGTGTGCCGAACATATCATCCACCTGGGACTGAACCTGCTCATCTGGTGGACCCTCTCGTCGCTGCTGCTCATATGCCCAATGAGATGTCTGGAAGTCCTGATCCTGAACCTGCAGACCGACACGCTCCCACTCGTCGACATCCAAATGTGGCAGGTCTGTACTACCTGATCCCATGTGCCCTCCTCCCATCGTAGCATGTTGAGGTGTGTGAAAGCTATCCTCCTGGGGCTAAAACTGAGGGCTAGAAGAACTGGTGCCTGCCTGAAATCCGGTAAAAGCGCCTGGCCGTAACGGTGGCTGAGAAGGCTGGTGGAATGTGAAGGTCGAAGTAGGTCTGACTGGCTGACGATCTGAGTACCTCACTCCACGAGGTACGTCACCCTGCTTACGTTGCTGTCTCCTCCTCCTGGGCTCCTCTGTGAACTGTGGCGGTGGCACGCCCCAGCCCGATGGCTGAGTCCTACGCTCTGGCCAGCTGGCTAAGCTATGCTCATCAGGGTACCGCTGTACCGGCTCTGTATCCGGATGTCGGCGATGACTAAAACCTATAGCTGTAACCCCTGCCGCCAACTGGTCAGCATACTCCGCCATCTGGTCATATGATAGCCCTCCTGCTCTCATCCCATCACGTAAACCCTGCTCAACGGTCTCCATGCAGTCGTACTGCAATTTAAATGGAAAATATCAGAAATTCTACACATCTAAAAACAATTAAAACACAAATTTTAATTACTAAAAAAACTCACCGCTGCGTTCAGTGCAGCAACTCTCCGTGTGCTTGAACGTCTAGCTAGTGACATCTCTATACCACTCTTGATGCTCCGAGTGGTAAGCTAATTCCACGTCACTGTAGCTCGTCTGCGCTACGAACTCATGTCGACGGTTCCACAACTCAATCGACTCGCTGGCTGCCTGTATGAACTGCTGGCCACGTGATGGTCCATGCTGTCCCACACGAAGAAAAAATCTAATCTCAGCCGCGGAATGTGGAGGATGAGGCCGGTCCTGAACCATCCCAAACTGTCCTAGCACGCGATCTGGATGATGCCACATCTGCGATGAGAAGCAGATCAGCGGAACTACTGCTCGAAACGTGTGGGACTGGATCACAGTACTGCTGTAGTCCTGACCTCTATGAAAGTACGGACGCCACTGCACACAAGGATTGGTCACATAATTACTCCTAAATCTATAATAAATCAATTAAAACTATTCTATAAAACGAAATGTTATATACTAACCACGAATGTCGTGCACTCGTCAAACCACAGCTTGTACAAGTAGAACTGATCTCCATGCTGACGGGTGTGGGCCGGAAGGCACCGAATGCCACGTGGCACTGCGTCCTGAGTAATCTGCGCACCCGTCACCGCATGTAGTGGTGATGTATGAGGAAACCGCTCCCACGTCTAGATCATCAGCAAGGCGGACCATCCACCAAAGTCACCACCCAGTGAAGAAAATGCCGTCATCTGCAGCGCCGATCTACCCATCTCACGGTACAAGTAGGATAGCACAGCTGCTCCCCAAGCAAACCTCCCCGCTCTGCGCCAATCCTCTACCAAAAGTAGATACTGCAGGTGAACTGAACCTCCAGACCGATCGGAGAACAAGACACCTCCCATCAGAGACAGCGCATACGCTCTAGCATACTGCGCTGTCGTCTCTGGTGATGCAGAAAGCGGTAGCTCATCGAAAGTCTCCCTGAGCCAAGTAATCCGGTGACGCCGCCAGTCCTAACAGTTGAAGACACATAGCCGACCAGTCCTCTTCTGGTATGTCTACTATGACGGCATCACCGTCGATCGCTAATCCGGTGAGTGTCGCAACGTCGTCTAGGGTGATCGTCACCTCACCGAACGGCATGTGGAATGTCGATGTCTCGGGTCTCCAACGCTCTACGAGCGCAGTAATCAAACCCGGATCACCGGTAAGAGGGGCTAGTGGCAGAACACTAGACAAGCCGGCATCGACGAGATACGGCAGGTACAGTGGATTGTATCGAACTAAATTGCCCGTATGACGAATGTGGTATGGTCGATCACCAGCCTATAATTAATGCACAAAACTATATTAATTCAATTCCTTCGATTCAATTCACCTAATATTTATATTTATATATATAAACTAAACTTATTCTAATATAATATTCTTAATTTAATCTAATTCTATTCTTAATTTAATTTAATTCTATTCGTAATTTAATTCTATTCTATTCTATTCTATTCTATTCTATTCTATTCTATTCTATTCTATTATACAGCTAATAAAAAAAAAAACTATAGAAATAATTTAATTTAAAAAACTTACCTCATTTGCCCAAACTGCGTCAATCCGATGGTGACTATGCCCCCAAAGAAGTTCCGCATCATTCGGAGCAGTATCGATTGTCGTAGGTGGTGGTCTCATCGAACAAGGATCGATAAGCCTAGGAACTGAAAAAAAAAATATTAGAACACAAAAAAAAAATGTCGCCGGAAAAAAAAGTCGCCGCCGGCAGGACTCACTCCGGTAGCGTTCGCCGCCGCCGCCGTCACCGCCGCCACCCCGGCCTCGCCGGCCTCGGCCTCTTCCTCTGCCGCCGGGGGCCTGCTCGTCGTCCGACATAGCGCCGCCGCTTTATATGGAGCGCCTTCGCCTTGTGCCGCGCGCCGCCGCCTGGGACTGGGCTCTGCCGCCTTTTTCTGGGCGTCGCCGCTCTCCTTCTCGGAGCTGGGATGGAGGATGAAGGAGGAGGGAGGAGTGGAGAGGGAGAGGGATGGGTCTGCGAGAGGGAGGGGAGGGAGGAAGGGGATAAAAAAAAAAACCTTGATAGCGACGGCGCCCAAGTCTCGAGCTTTGGCGCCTTTTGAAATTTTTGAAATTTCAAAAGGCGCCAAAGCTCCAGACTGGGGCGCCGTCGCTATCTACACCCTTTAAAACTCGAATATATGAGTCTCGGGCGCCGTCGCCAACTTCCTTCCAAAAAACACAATATTCCTGTAAATAGTTTTAAAACGACTATATTCGTGATAAATTAAAAAAAAAAAACGATATTCATGGAATTAACCCTGCAAAAATGATAAGTAGTAAATAAAATTTAAAACTGGGGCCTCCATTAAATTACATTACCTAAAGCCCACACGTTATTGTGGGAAACGGCCTAATCACTGCCGCCATAAAGAACTATAATAACATATAAATGGAAATAAACCACATAAATCTTCAAGCTAATTAGAAGGAATTAGAACAATCAACATATAGTAATGTCCGACGCAATTAAAGCCTGTAATATCGGAATTCAAAAATTTCAAACCAGGAATCGCAGTGATGGTCAAGCTCCGTCACCGACGGCCATCACTATTTCATCGGCGGCAGAGAATACAGAGTACCGGTCGGATCCATGAAGCCAAGGTGATCGATGATGATAACCAAACCACGGTCATATTCTGGACTTGAACGGAGGATCTCCACTTTTAAAGAATAATAACATCAAGCCACGGATGTATAGAGTTGGCCATGGAGCCAAAACCAGAAGTACTCATGATATAACGACGACAGGCGTCATAATGCGGAAACAGAGTAATAGAGCTCTATATTTGGATATACCATCTTTTTGTAATTAGGGAATAACAAACGAAGACATACCTGCCATGAAATAACCTTCAGCAAACCGATTAAAGAAACAATATACTTGCCGTCTAGGGAGGTGGGGACGGACAAAATTGGGCATGTCACCATAAACAGCCATGTCGAGTGATAGCGTCGAGAGCGGCCTGCAGGCCTGGAGAGCAAACAAATCAAGGACTGCATCTAGTTCCTCCCAACAGAATCACCAACGAAAGCCAACGATTTCCTCCTCACGATCTCGAGGAACTGCGCCGGGTTGAAGACGGGGAGGTCGTAGCCGTCGGGCTTCCACCGCCACAGCATGAAGCCGTTGAGCGAATAAGTGAGCAGGGGATGAGAAGGCTCGTCGAATTCCAGCTGAAGAAGAGGAGCAGTCGAGGAAGGTTTGCGTTCCGAAAACTAGACTGCATCAGGTTTGTCGGCGGCAGCGGCAGGCGTAGGGTCATCGGAGGCGACGATTTGGCGGCGAGGTTGTTGGGTCTCCCGGCGAAACGGATTATTCAAACTATGTTGTTGCCTTTGGTGTGACTGGAAAGTCTGAAGTTCCCGAACTTTCAGGAGCGTAACCATCGTTCTCCAGACTTGATTTAACAACAAACCCAACTGAATTTGAGAGGAGTGGCCGGAAGTGAGCAGAGGATAGTGGGACGCGCTGCGGGACGACGGAGAGATGAGAAGCAAAGAACGATGACGACGACGTCATCACTTGCTCGTCGCTTGATTCCTGCCACCAGTGGGGAGAAAGGATAAACAGGAACATCACTAGAGTGTGCTATGCTGGGCAAGTGTTGCCATCAACCTTGATTACAATGTATTTTTTATGTGTATTTAAAATTTTCAAATTATTTGAAATGCTGAATTTTGTATGATATTAAGGTTCTATTTTCAAAATTCTTATTACTTTTCATCAATGATGAACATTATAATCTTAATGGTTATAACCAAAGTTGTCAAATTTGTTTAAGTCGTTGAGCTAGTCAAGCAAGTGGTTTGAAGTTTAATGGTTTGATTGAGCTCCAACCTGTTTGGGCCATTTTACACCTTTTCTAAATATATTTACACATAAGATAGAAATTTATTAGTGACGGAAAGGGAACGTACGTATTAACTTATATCTATTAAAAACTCAAATTTCATTAAAAAAATACATATCTCAAGATCCACCCACTATTCCCTTGACTCTCCCCCCTCCCCCTTCCCTCTCTAACAATCAGAACCTTGGTTTTGGAAGCCCGTTTTGGAGCATGACTTTGATCGGACCTAGTCCAACCAGCCGTCCGATAGAGGTGTAACAATCTTGGTTATAACACTCTTGGATAACAATTCATAGCTTGTTTATTTAATGATGTAGTCACTTAGTTGTCTATGGTGGAAAAGAAATTGGCATAACAAAAAAAGAGTTTGTTTGAAAAATTCTAGCATAAATAGGAAACTCATGATAATAACCTTTAGTCAATATTTATTTCTTTTGATTGAGAAACAATACATAAATAGAAATATCTAAACTTTAAAGTATTCTACACAATACAATAACAAATTTAGTAAGAAAATAACATTTTTCATCCATACTGTATGCAATGAAAAAATTATTTATCAACCAACATACTCTAAATTTAGTTGAAGGAAAATCTTATTCACTCAACAAAAAATTAAACCTATCTTGTGATAACTACCTTGCTAATGCACATGAGCAAATCAATGCGTCATGAAAACTGTAGCCCAACGTTCATGATTTATCTTGTACTGCGGTTATTTCATATTAAACTAAACAACTACGAATGAGACATATGGTCAATTACCCTATAAGATAAAAGATTTAAATAATTGAAATTATCTAGAAAAATTGGTATTCAGAAATTGTGTTCTTTTAAACTTACCCATTTGTCCAATCATGCCATATTATTAAGAGATTTAGGATTTAACGGGTAACAAAACTAAAACTTTCAAAAAACCAGCCTCCTAAAGTGTATCAGGACTGAACTACTGCGTTTATTATTGAAATATCGAGAAATGAAGGCTAAACGTGAAAGTACAAAGAGATCCACTAAGTACCGGTCTAAGCATCGTTAAACAACTCTAGGTACTTCTATCTCATGCTACTCTCCTTCTCCCACGTTGCAGCCTCGCTGCCCTGGTTCCTCCATATCACCTTCACCATGGCAATTTTCTTCCTCCTCAACTCGTTTTCCTGCATATCCATGATCTGGACTAGGATCTCCTCATATGTCAAATTTTGCTCCAACTGGATGTCCTCATGCATGATCACGTGTTCAGGGTTGGATCGATACACCCTTATCATGCTAACATGAAAAACATCGTGGATCCTCGAAAGACTAGGGGGTAAGGATAACCGATAGGCCAAAGGTCCCACACGTTCCAACACCACGTATGGTCCAATGTACGTAATACTAAGCTTCCCCTTCTTGCCAAATCCCATCAATCCTTTCCAAGGGGACACCCTCAGAAAGGCTCTATCATCCACTTGGTGCTGGCGAGGGACTCCAGGTGATGACTTGATAAATACACACGTTTTTGTCCACCATTCCTCTATCGTTTGAGTCTCATCTCTCGTGTTTTAGACTGATTTCACGCTAGGTTGTTTGTGTTTGTGATATTTCAAGTCCTAGTACGTGAAGGGAGGTTCAGGCACGAGTTCGGGGTCGATTGGACGAAGTTGGAACGATTGACAGAAAGCTGGGAAACCACACGGCCAGACCCAAAAATCACAAGGGCATGTGACGTGGCCGTGTGGAATCCCTTTGCGCGGGAAAACCACACTGGCCGTGTACAGGGTCCCTTGTGGCCATGTGGAAATCACAGAGACCTTCACACGGGCAGGCCGAGATTTTACACCGCCGTGCAGTTCTGACCGTGTAACGTGCTTGATGGCACATAAGTGAAACATGGCGTTTTACACCTCCACACGAGCAGCTGGGAATTCTACACTTTCGTGTAGTCCCGGAATTCTGGGTTTTAACCCAATTTCGGGACTTTTAAGAGTGAATAGATTTTGAGAGCTAAAACCAGAGCCCTAGAGAGAGAAAGTGCAAAGAACACACCCTAGAGGTGATTTTGGAGCTGGGTTTCATCAATCAAGCTTGGATTTCATCCTTGGAGTGAAGATTATCATCCCAGAGTAGATTCTTCCCATCTTGATGAGTATGATTGCTTTGTTTTCTGTTTCCCTCTCTCTATGGAGTAAACCCTCTCTCACTTGGGTATGATGTTTGGATTGTGATACTGCTTGATTATAATCG